GCATTTTGTGCAACAAGACCCCAATAAGCACGATTCTAGTGACGCAGGCATCTTGGGGGGTATTGGAAACTCTCGAAAGTCTGCAATGCAGTTCATTGCGACGGCCAACCAGTTTAAATACGTCGCTCGATTTGTTTGTGGCTGCAGCGGCTGCGCAGGTATTGCGAAGCTGCTTGGGAGCAACGCGCTTGGAAACAAAGACTGGAGGTTTCCCAGGCGTATGGGGTCCTTTTCCCCAAGTGGCACCTTGCTGAACAAGTTGATGAATGAGACTATTGTTCACAATCTCCCATTTTGTTTCACTTGTGTCCGCAGCATCAAGCAACGCATCAAAGTGACCAGTTTGGGTTGGGGCCGGCGGGTTAGATGAACACCCTTCAGCATCATTGATCACAATGGGAGCGGCTTTAAAAAGAACAAGCCCGCGCTGCTTCAAGGTAGGCCAGTGAATTGTGAACTTCAAGGGACGGTGTTGGTTACCAAGAAGCTCAATGACTTCAGCTGATTGCAGTGCAAGGACAGCAATTTGATTCACCAACATGGCGTCAATGGAGGAAGTGGCGTCGTCGCACCCAGAAAGCTGGAGCCCCTCGAATACGTGAGCGGTCGAGATCGAAACCCGTGCTTATCAGTGACAGCGATTGGGTCGTGCCAGTTCAGGAAGGCTAAACTATTGGCAATCGCAGGAGAGCTTGAGGGATCAGCCTGAAAATTCACCCGCGTTTGCAAAAGCTGCGCAACAAAGTCAAAAATGTCGGCAAAGAGACAATCGTTTTGTTGGTGTACTTTGATGTTCTGGTGGTTTGCTTATATGTTATGGACATTAACATAGTTAGCTAAGTACTTCCTAACTAGTTATAAATTTCCTTAATTAGTTAGTAATTCTCAAAATGTATCATTGAACAACCAAAAATCATATTCATTTTGTTTAAAAAATACTTCCATTGTGGATATTTCTTTGGTCTGGGCAATATTTTTGAAATAAACAATTTCACAAAAACGCTATGTACAACAAGTCTTTTTTAAAAAATATGTTTGGAACACAAAAAAACACTTGAGCCTGTAGAGGCTAAACGCTTGAGCCTATAGAGGCTAAACATCAGCCTGTAGAGGCTAAAGTCAAAGCCTGCAATGCCCATGTTGACTGCAAAGACTCAGCTTTTTCACTTGTGAAACAGAGGAGCAGGTCTAAGGCAGGTCACCCTGCCATTCTTTCCAAAGACATCTTGGAGTGGCAGCAACTGCCTTTGGTCACAAGTTTCCCAGACAGTGGCTGTCTTTGTCTTCTGCTCCACAAATTTGAACTCATTCAGCAGCACACATGGCACATCAAGCACCAACAGAAAATGCAATGCCTTGCCACATCTCACCATTGCTTGCAGCAGTTGAGAAGAATACCACATCGCCAGATGTACAAGTGGAGCCTGAAGACAACTTGCAGCTTGTTGCTGATTGCACACTCTGAAACTGCAGCCCTTCTGCCTTCATCTTCTGCTGCAAAGATTTGGGAACACCTCGAGGGCACGGCAAATGACAAGTGTCATCAACAGCTCTGCGTTGTGAAGGTTATGAAGGTGTTCCATGGTGCAAGCCACCAAGAGACCTTTGTCATAGGTCTGGAGGTTACAATGCGCAGACCCATATTTCCTTGCTGTTTTGTGTTTTCTTTCACAGGACCAGCATGAAGGCAGCTGACCCCAGCGCTTCAAACAGTCAAAGAAGTGAAGAGTCCAATGATGGTTAGGCTTTGTATAGTTTGCAAAGCCTGCCAATGTGTGACACTCCAATGCACTCTCAACAAGGCCCAACAAAGTCTTGGGGCAAGGGCTGTCCAGATAGGGTATGCTCTGTAGATAGTCCAAAAGTTGACACCATGCAATGAAAGATCTACACTCCTTGACCATGCAACAGTTGCTCATGTACATGACCTCCAAAAAGTACTGAAGAAGCTTGTAGAGTGTCAGCGTCTCTGAAGCTGAACACTTGAAGCCCTTATCCTTTCTGTACTTGGTCACCTTTTGTGCGTCAAAGAGCTTGGGAATGTCAAAGCTTTGCTGGTTTTATGGAAGAACCCATAGAGACAACCATTGGCCCAACAAGCCCCATGCATTGTATCCAGCACTGAAAAGAGCCTCCAAGACCAGATAAATTGCGTCAACCATGATGCCATTTGAGCACATTGTGTGCGTATAGTCATGGCAATACCGGCTGGCAGGAAGCAATAAACCATCACTCTGCAAAGTCATGTGGACTGCAAGATACCCCTGTGGCCTGCTGCCACTGGTTGAACTCCACCTGTGAAAGCGCATTGAATCTCTCAGCCATTCTGTTCCAAGAATCAACAAATTCTGCATCGCTAGAGGGCTTGAGCTGGCTTTGCTGGCAAAACTTAGACAAGATTTTTCTTCAGTTTCATCACCACTAATACCTTTGCTCGCGCAAAGCATGCAGGGCTTGGACCCTACATCTTGTCGACACATCCAAATAGCTTTGTGCGCAGCACCATCTTGAAGAACCATTGACAATGTAAAGTACAATCGCATGCTGCCTTTGTCACTGGACAAGAGAACTCCTGTCTGTGGAGTGACTGAAGAAAATCTGAGACATTCCAACTGACACCTTGGAAGCTTGCACTGTCCTGATTATACTCAATGTGAACTACAAGTCTTCTTTGCAAAGCATGGTTGTAAATTCAAGAAAGCTAACATAGCAGCACCAAGCCCTGCGGCCAGAACTATTCAAGATGTTCCCTGGGTGTATTTCATCACATTGTATGCAGAGTCGGCCTGAGGTTGTGCAGCTTGAGCGTATACTCTGCAAACGCACCATTTTTGTAAAAGACACCTGCCAACAGAGAAAGGAAATTGACAAAAAAGATCTGCACTCTTTCACCTTCCTTGGCAGATATCGATGATCCTCTCTTGCGACCTTCTTCCAGGTGAGGCTCCACAGAATTATACCTGGACATCTCCTCACTTTCCAAAAGAGCCTTGTTTTCTTTCCAAAAGAGTCTAAACTTATATGTAAACAAAAAAGCAAAAAATATTTCGAAATTTGGATTTTGAATTCAAAACTAGCCCAGCTGGAGACCCCAATAGCAAGATACAAACCGGGACAAAAAGAAAAATCTGGAAACAGCTGCTGTTTTCAACACATCGACCATCTCTTCCTTGGACACCATCATCACATAACCGGGACACCATCGCAAAATGACCAGGGCGCAATCAAAACATGACCGAGACACCGTCGCAACATGATTGGGACACCATCACAACATAACCGGGACACCATCACAAGGTGACCGGGACACCAGCATGACATGACGGGACACCATCACAACATGACCGGGACACTATCACAACATGACCGGGACACCGTCACATGACCCGGACACCATCAAAACATAACCGGCACACCGCCAAAACATGACCGCAACATGATCAAAACATGACCGGGACACCGTCACAACATAAGCGAGACACCATCACAACATGACTGGGACACCGTCGCAACGTGACTGGGACACAATCACAACATGACCGGGACACCATCACAAGGACACCAACATGACATGATGGGAAAACCATCACAAGATGACCAGGACACCATCACAACATGACCGGCACACCGCCAAAACATGACCAGGACACCATCACAACAGGACCGGGACACCATCACAACATGACTGGGACACAATCAAAACATGATCGGGACACCATCACAACATGACCGCGCCACCATCACATGACCGTCGCAACACGACCGGGACACCATCAAAACATGACCGGGACACCATCAACCATCACATGATCGGGACACCATCAAAACATGACCGGGACACCGTCACACCATCACAACATGACTTGGACACCATCAAAACATGACCGGAACACCATCAAAACAGGACCGGGACACCATCGCAACATGATTGGGTGACAATCAAAACATGATCGGGACACCATCAAAACATGACTGGGACACCAGCATCACATGACCCGGACGCCATCAAAACATGACCGGGACACCATCCGCCCACCAGCTCTGACGGTGACCCGACGGCGCCCGTCCGCCTATGAGTTTTGCAAGACCCCATAGCATGGCTATTGGGGAACAGGGAATTCAAATCTCGAAATTTGGATTTTGAATTCAATTTTTTGAATTCAAATCTCGAAAGTTTGAATTTGAATTTGAATTCAAATCTCGAAAATTTGAATTTGAATTCAATTTTTTGACTTCAAATCTAAAAATATTGAATTTGAATTCAAAATTTTGAATTTGAATTCAATTTCTTGAATTCAAATTCTAATATTTGGGATTTGAATCAATTTGAAACAAAAAAAGTCGATGACATTTAGACAATAAAAAATTACATGGTTGTATCTAATAAATAGCAAAAAATAGATCAAACTTTAGGAATTTTCAGTACCAATTTTTTTAACATGTTATACAACATCAGCCCTCAAATGCACAACAGCAGCCTTTACAGGCCCAATGATCAACAGGAGCATATAAATGCTGAGCCTGCGCAACGATGAGCCTGTACAGGCTGCGCAATGCTTCTTTTTTTCAACACCAGGCCAGAGGAGGTTGTCAGATGTACCTCTTGTACACTTCAGGTCCCTTTTTCTTGAGCCCTTGCTGCAATGAATGGTGATCATGCAGCCTGCCCAAGGCTCTGTCGAGCCCACCATCCTCACCCACCTTCCACATATGCACCAAAGCTGTGGCTTTGTTTTGCCAACCTGAGTATTCCTTGTTCTCTGGGTCCTTAGATAGCATTGTAAACAACTATCAATACATAATTTTTTGCAATTACAAAAATGAACAATACCTCACTGAGCCTCCACAGGCTTCAAATTGCAGCTACAAACATTAACAATACACCACTGAGCCTCCACAGGCTTCAAAACTGAAGCTACAAACATAAACAATTCCCCACTGAGCCTCCACAGGCTTCAAATTGATATCATTTGCAAACATGAGCCTGCGCAGGCACAGATTCAAACCACATGCCAAAGCTCAGTGGTGTCCTTCCATCTTCCCCAATCCAGCCCCTTCTTCCACCACCACCACGAGAGCCCTGCATTGGTATCAACCTTTTGCATCAATGCCACTGAGCAACACATGAAGTCCAAGTACCTCAAGAGCTGGAAGGATTCACCACCAGCATAGGAAGCTACAAAGTCCCCAATGCTCTTGATGTAGTTTCTGCATGGAGGCATCCCTGCAGCAGCTTGGGCAACTGGCTTTGCAAGATCCTTCTTGTCTGCAGGCTGCATCTGGAAGATGTGAGCAATTGTCATTGCAACCTCCAGTTCATTTGGAGGTTTGACAATGGCATGATCACCTTGGATGGTGTGGTGGACACCGCTGCACATACAACCAGTTCAGCGCACATAAAGCTAAACCATAAAAAGTGTTCTGATCAAAGTGTCCAAGGAGTCACTATTGTATGCAGCCTGCAAAAAGCAACAGAAGTCAGGCACCTCAGCTTCCACCTGCGCTTTGACCACACACCCTTCCCACCCTTCTGTGAGCATTCTCCCAAGATCATCACCTTTGGCAATCAGCTGCTCTAGTGAAAGATGGGAGCCACCTGCAAGGTCATCACCACCATCCATTTTGCATCCATTCTCTAGACATCGAAGGAATGTACAGGTGTGGCTGGTGGAAAGGCTGCGCACTCTTTCCTTGCCACTTGGCATGGGAAGCATGCCACCAGAAGTGGATGCAAGAGTCTCATTGCACTCAATGATTTGTGACCTCTTCTTGCTCTCAATGGGCAATTCCACACATACTGAAGGCCCCACTTTCTGAAGGCTCCACCCTACCTGGCAGCGGGATTTTCCTTTTGTAATCGCATCAAAGTGGTTGCGCATCTGTCCTCCTCGATTCGAAGGATGGATCGAGACTTCTTTTGGTTTCAAGACTGTGGTGTATGCAAGTCCTGCTTGCTGCGACCCTGCCAAGGCTTTTGCAGCCTTTTGGTTGATGCCCATCTCATTGTCATTCAAAATCTTCTTGAGCTCCACCACCCAAGGAAGAGCCATGGTGTGCAAACACTAAAAGTTCATGAACAAAGCGCCTACATATGCTGTGTTGTTTGTGTTTCAGGTGTTCTTATGTTGTGGTTGGTTGTCCCTTGTGTTCTTATGTTGTGGTTGGTTGTCTCTTCAACACATTCACCTTTTCATTGTATGTAGCTGCCCACCCCACAAAGTGTTACAATGCCATTGTGGCAGGCTGCAATGCGTAAACCCATTTGAGCATGCGCAGACCAACGCAACTTGATCCTGCGCAGGATCTCCTCTTGTACAAAAGCCTGAAGCAACTTGAGCCTGCAAAGGCTGATGTAACTTGAGCCTGCAGAGGCTGAAGCAACCTGAGCCTGTAGAGGCGGAAACAACTTGAGCCTGTAGAGGCTGAAGCAACCTGAGCCTGTAGAGGCTGAAACAACTTGAGCCTGTAGAGGCTGAAGCATCTGGAGCCTGTAGACAAAGGCTTGCTCTAACCTTGGCAACATAAACATACAACATTTTCTTTGGTAAACTTTTAACTTTCAATGTATATGTTAACTGTGCTAATTTTGTTTAGTTTTTTGGTAAAATTAGCAATTGTCCCCAAAAAATAAGTTCATTAATGAAATTAGCGTAACAATTATTTTCCTTTAGTTATTAGCTTTAAAAAATGATGATAATATAAAGCCTTTAGGGCAATTGTAACTTGTTATAAGTAGTTATAACCCTATTGCAAATGTGTTACGATGTAGTTAACAATACGTGTAACTAGCCTAACACGATAGCAAACCACCAGAACATCAAAGTAGGGAAGTGTTTTTCCCGAGAGCGTCTGCGAAGGGTTCTTCGTAAAAAAACATCTGCAGAACTACATCTCCTCTACATCTTCACATCTTCACCTCTGTACAATCACGTTGTCGCCTCTATCTCTGTACAATCACGTTGTCACCTCTATCTCTGCTCATCTTCATATCTGCACATCCTCACATCTACATCTCAGCTCATCTTCATCTTCACACATCTACGTTTCTGCTCATCTTCACATCCTCTCATCTACATCTCACATCTTTACCTCTCATCTACATCTCACATCTTCACCTCTTGCTCTTCTTAACTTTGTCTCTTAAGGCCGGGGGCAGTGCCGCCGGACCGCCACGAAACGCAACCCTCTGCGCAGATCGTGCGTGTCGAGTGCGCGAAAGGCAGGCGAGAGTGCGATTTGTCTCTGCCGCGGGCAACCCTCTGCGGAGATCGTGTGTGTCGAGTGCGCGAAATGCAGGCGAGAGTGCGATTTGGATTTGTCCGGCGCAACCCTCTGCGGAGATCGTGCGTGTCGAGTGCGCGAAATGCAGGCG